CCTTAAAGGCCTCACATCAGTGACCCGCCTCCGGTCTGTGGTTCTGTTAGATTCTGAGAAGATGTGAGCTACAACGCTCCTAAGGACACCCTAAGTTTGCGCCAGGCCTCGGGCCTTGACTTTCCATTCACCAAGATAATCTGACTCAAACTGGTTCTTTTCCGTCAAACAACTTCAGCAAAGATCAATTTGAGCCTTCAGATTGCATCAGGAATACTTACAGCGGATCTAAATATTTATAATTAATTATAACTAGTTATGATTAATTATTCATATTTCCCTTTTGAGCTGATTCACTACAAATGAGTCAGATTATGGAAGTAAATTACATTGTAAACAAGGTTTAATGTTAATTTATTTGCATATTTTATGTTGCATCCTTCTTGAATACAAAAATCTGAAAATATCTTTAAAAGAACAGGATCAAAACATGCTAAACCCATCAAACACACTGAATAGAAGCCTGTGTGCTTCCTGGGAATGCACTACATTTGTATTTCTAAAGAGGGAGTGGCCTTACCCTGGTTGACTTTTGGAGTTGCCGGGGAGATTGGGGGAGGAATGAGGGCGGGTAGGGGTGGAGGTGTTTGTGCTAAAGGAGCCAGAGGAAGATGAGGAGGAGGATAAGGAGGATCCAGGAGACTGGCCTTTGCTGTTGGATAAGGAAAGGGATCCAGGGTGGCCAAAGGTACTGCAGTCCTCTATGGAAACATTCAAACATGTCACTATGACCCTGATCGCTTAAGACATTTGCATCACAAAACTAGTATCTTGAGTGTATAAATGAAAAAAGTATTGGTAAAGCAGCTGAAATGGATACCATCCTCAACATTCTTCAACAATTATGTCTAACTAAAGTCAGATTAGCTGTCAACAAATTGCTCAGTAACTCTCACCAGCGTTTTCCTGCTCAACACTTTCCAAAGGGTCTGATTCTCTCCTCCCCAAAGTCTCTTTACAGCTCCTGGTCTTGCGTGAGATCATCTCATCATCTGTTCCATCACCACTGTCCCCCTGTGAACAGAATAGTGCATTAGTCAAATCATATAGCCAAGCCAGGACAGCCTGTGTTGGCGGTTTTTCACTCCTTACCCTGACTAAGGCTTTCTTCTTCTTCTTGACGTTGGAGTTAATGCCCAGCGGGCTGTTTTTCTGGGCTGAGCTCTTCTCCGCACTCTTGCTGGCGGATCCAGGGCCGCTAGCACCCATATTCCAGCGTCTCCCACCGAACAGCTCGATAGCATGGGCCAGTGTGGGCCCCTCAAATCTACCATCCTCCTAGAACAGGGAGTTCTACAATGTGAACTTCTATAATTCAACATTGAGAACACAACATGCGTGCAAAAATCTTTATTTAAATGCAGACTAAGCCGGTTTGCCAGGTCTACCAGCCTGGCCAACTAGTGGTCAGCTGGTTTAGCTGATCAGTCAGTTGACCTACCAGCTAACAAGTGCACAAAACCCTTCTAAAACTATCAAACCAGACCAGCATGACCAGTGGCAAGACCTGCAAAACTTGTTTTATAGCATGGTGGTTGTAATAGTAATTGTTGCAATCTTTACCATGTATTCGGGATAAATGAGCTTAATATGAAATATGCAATTCGCTATTTTAAAAACATTAGCAAAATCCTCACAATAGAAACAAAACATCTTCCATACCTAAACAGAAACTTGGTATCGCAGGTCTACTCATACTGTGTTCTCAAATATATTGAATAAATGCACTTGAGTAAATGTAAACGTACCTGGTACAAACTAACAAACTGCTTTCGCAGCCATTGTAGTCTCTGGTCAGGAAACTTCCTGATCTTCCTGATGGCACTGAGCAGCTCCTGGAGGCCCTCGTGCAGCATTTGTGCCGTGTGCTTGGGGGCCACAAAGTGCAGGAGCCTGTTGTCTGTGGTGTGAAGTCCATATAGCAGCGTGACACCATTTTCGCCAGGGTTCATGTTACACAGTTTGTGCTGCAGGCACACATAGTTAACATCCAATCCAGGGTGACCCATAAACACGGCCTTCACCACGTTAAGGTCTAGGAGTCCATCGGTCAGTCCGCAGTGCACAGGTTGGCCCAGGGGTAAGTGGTCTGGGGATGGTGGATGTCCCATGAAGCCTCTGGCTCCTCTACCTGGGCCACAGCTGCTGTGGGGCTTGGACCAGGTAAGGAAGCAGTTATCGGGCTGTAGACGGAGGAGGCAGCGGGCGGTGAGGTGGGTCTCGGGGTCGTAGTGGATAACGGTTGCTCCCTGGAGCAGGAACTGGTGGATATCTGGTTGAAGAGAGAGCACGTACCAGGGGATGAGCTCTGTTCCGTGGCTAAATGGTCCATGCACCTCTTCTGTGGTCTGGAGGTCTGCATCCTTAGCCGGCTCAAGCGGGTCCACTTCAGAGTCTGAGAGGTCCCCTACTAAAAACCTACAAAAAAAGACAAGAAGCGGGTGAAGCAAAAATCAAGAATCAAATGACTGAATAAACAGAAATCTGCCTGCGAAACTTCTCAATGTCTTGGAAAAGGTAATGCCATATTAGTCTTGCGAAAGAAGCTGACATGAGCTTAGAGTATTGAAGAGCACTGTCTACCTATAAGACACAAATTTAGGCGCCGTTATGGAACATAATACAATGCTATGCATTAAATTACTTTAAATTGTGCACTGTGGCAGAGTTGGCACCTTGAGCTTAAATGTGGTTGTGCATCTCATTTACTCTGTGTCTTGGTCTGGATATGGGTCTAGGTTTGTGGTCTCAGACAAGACTGCAGTCTGTTTCCAGAGAGTAATGAGGGTGATAATTACCTCAACCACAGGTTTGCACTGTATCTGCACCATTATAGAGGATCCCATGGCTCTTAATAACTACTTAAGCCTTAGTGTCTGAAATGAATTGTGGAATAAATTTTGCATAATCTCCATTTAATTAAAATGGACAGTCTGGTGCATGGAGCAACAGTTTTTGCATGGGTTCTGGGATAAGGTCTTGATCTGGACTTGATCTGAGTATTGATCTGCGTAATAGGGGTGTGATATTGGTCTGGTCCTCAGAATTCTGGTACTGGTCTGGGTTTTAGGGAATTTTGTGTTGGTTTGGGTGTGGATCTTTTGCTGATTATTGAGGGGTCTTGTCTTGGTTTGGTATTAGGGTTTTGATACTGGTCAGTGTCATAAAGAATTGGGGACTCGTCTGGGCTTTGGAGAGTCTGGTCTTGGCTTCAACTCTGCACTGTGGATTGAGAGGAAGGAAATCCATGCATTTCTAAGTGCAATCACACGAAACCTATACAAATGAAACACTGCATGTCACTTAGAAACCAATGCAGTTAGTGTAACCATTAAAGCACAATCTGGCAACTTACAGGACACGCTCTGACCCAGGTCCTTTCCTTGAGAGTGGACAGTAAGGGTGAAGGGTTGAATTGAATGGAAGAGAAAGACAGAAGGTAGTGGTTTGAGAAATGAAAGTGGGGTAAATCTGTACCCAAACACAGTATGCTCAAATTTGATACATTTGTGGTGTAAAGTCAGCCCTGCAACTGGAAGAGTTACTGGGAGAGAAGTTAAGATAAATTAAGAAGTACATCAAAGCCAAGCTGCTCAAGATTCAGTCTCTTGAAAGATGAAAATGCTTGGGATGGAGTCTACAAAGGCGATGAGATTCTCCAGATACACAGTATTAACATCCGAAGGTTGGAAACATGGGGTTTGTAGTGCTGCTCTGTACGTAGGTCAACATGTATAAACCATCTCATGACAACAACATGTTCCACTGAGAAACATTTCAGTCCAATGGAAGGTCTTTGGAAATCTTTTTATAACTTAAGACGTTTAAAGGTTCAAAATAAACTCTGAGCACTCACATGCTACAGTCATTCTTTCACTCTCTTTTAAATGATCTCAAGGTTGTCAGCAAATGAAAATTAGTAGTACACCATATACACTGAGTGAGTTGTTTATGATGAATAGAATTTCACAGCAACCTGGCTATAACCTTCATAAAAAAAAAATTTAAAAAAAACATACTGTATCAAGAATCATAAAACTACCACAAAAAGTAAAACTTTTTGTCATATAAGATTTAGTTAAGCTAAAGTGGGGGGTTTTAAAAACCTGAAAAAGTAGTTATTTTTCTGTCTGATGCTTTTGGGCTTAGGATTTTGTGTGTTCTTGTGGTGACCAAAATAACAGTCAAATACAGTTGCTATGATGTAATTTTCTTAAGGTTTAATTTTACAATTCAGGTAGTTGACTCAAATAAACCTTTAAATGTGTCCAGGAGCAACAATGGCAGATGTCAAATCACATACATCTAGTTGTTCCTCCACCAGTCCAGCAACTCTCATTGAGATTCATGGGAATGCTAGGTATCATAGATCTCCTTAATTAACACAGGTAAGTGTAAAGAAATAACCCAAAGCTCTATGCAGAAAGCCTATTAGTGGTATTAAAACAAACTGAGAATGCCTCAACATATATGAATTAGACTAAACACATCATATATTTGCAAACAGTGTACAAAATTAACTCACTGGTTTCTGCTCTTGTCTTTGAAGGAATTTTTGGGGCAAACTGTGATCTCTTGTGCCTTCTCCTCAGGCTCCTCTGCCTCCAGGCTTCGGTTGCAGCTGCGAATCGTCTGCAGAATGTTACTAACGGTCGCCTCCTTGTCTGAGCTGTGGAGCCCATTGCTCCCGACCCTCTGCAGGAAGTGCTGCTGGCCGTTGTAGTCGGTGACAAACTGTGTAAGGTAAAGAGCACTTCACCACAGAGATTCCACACAAAAGAAAATAACCACAATTATAGACAATACGAGTAGATTTGTGGGCTGTAAAAGCTTTCATGGGTGATTTAATAATCACCAGAGTGACAAAATGACTTTTTCCTGGTTGAATCACTCTAATGTGTTTTTTTGTAAAGCCAGGAAGCAATTCAGCAGGCATATTAGAAGTTTGATGAAAAGGTAATTGCTCCAGCTAGCCAAAATGGTCTCAAGATTATTATTGTAACTGTAAAAGGCAATTAAATTAGACCGTAGTGATACAATTTCCTGTGTTAGTCATCATGACTCTTTGGAAGCACCTAATCCTCACCTCAACAGGATCTTTTTGAGAATCAAATGATGGACGCAGTCCAATAATGCTGGCTGCACCGTCCAAAGCCTCGCTAAGTTCCTTAAGGAACACGCCACAGAAGGGCACCACTTTGCATCCAGGGATGTTAAGGGCACGGTTGACCACTTTCTTGTACTCAGAGGATGATTCATGCTGGGCCATGGCGTCCTTCAGACCACGCATGGTCTCAATATCCACCTGGTCCATGAACTGCCACATTTTCAGCACTTTGCGAGACCTGGGGAGGAATAAGACAGGCCGTCTATATGTATATTGCTCAAGGCTTATTATCATTTTTGTTTTTAAATGTAATTTAAAACATAATTTAGGGATGAAGTCTGATGAATCGCTCTGATTAAGTCTGATTATGTGCAACCAGAGTTAGATTTTGTCTTAAGTCATCAAATATCTTTGTATAATAACCAGCAAACTGTATTTTTCTCTCTCTTAACAACACAAGTGGAATAAAAATCAAACTGACTCCACTGCAAACACTGCAAAAAATGTGCTGTCAAAAACAAATCAGTGACTCAAGAATGTCCCTCACTTTGTTAAGCAACACACAATACAAACAGAGAGGGCCATTTATTCTCAAAGGATTATTTCTTTTCTAACCAAGCCATTCAAGGCATCATGCCATACCTGAGACCTGCCAAGAATTCCATGACCGCATTGTAGTTGCCCATGTTCCAGGAGCACTTTGCCACATGGACAAGGTATGAGAAGACTTCTCTCTTCTCCTCCATGGACCCAGCAGTCAGGATAAGCCAGGTCACCCATGAGCTCACCTAAATACACAACACACACTTTAGTTTGAGGCCCAAACTTAAGAAAATACTGATCTCCATACCTTCCTCACTTTATTCACTCTCTCACTTTATTGGTGTATAGTCACACATATTTGGAAGAAACACTGCTGATTGTATAACATAAATCTCTAGCTTTAAACTCAGGAGTTCAAACATGATTTCATTTACATTTCCAAGAAAAATGAAGATTGGAGTGCACAAATGTAGATTTGAGCCCACTGGACCCCATAACACTAACACAGATAACAAGACAGTGATCCATACGACTGCTGTATATTCCAAGTTTTCTGAAATCATACAATGGGTTTGTGTGAGACACATTTGAAATTTAACACAGGACACTTGGTTCAGAATTTGTGCTAAACTTTTGTGTATAACCTAGAGATCGACCGATATATCGATTTACCGATATTTTTCCCGATATTTAAGCATTTTACTATAATCGGATATCGGTTTTGTAATATTGGATTCACCGATAAACGCCGCCATCTTGTGGGCATTTTGAGAATTGCGCGCAGGATCACCTTTGCAGCATGTCTGAGGGGAGACGAGACAACAACAACAGCGTGCAGGTACTTGATATAGTTGCTATAGTTAGTAAACTTTATTTAACATAACAGCCATCAATGCACAAATTAGATGTATTACATAAATGCCTGATATGCAGTTTATGCAGCTTGGCTCGAA